CCCCAAAACCCCAAAACCCCAAAACCCCACTCCATCTGCACTGGTAATAAATTAATATAAAAGTAAGCAATGGAGTTCACCTGCAGGATGGCTGACCCAAGGAGCAGACCTGAACACAAGAGGGCTGGAGTAGGCCACGAGTGAGGTATGAGATGTTGGTGGGTATCTGCGGTCATTGATTTTGTATTCAAAAGTCCTCAGCAAGACCAAGAATTTGTCCTTTTGGAAAACCAGCTTCCAAATAGTAAAGTTTGTGTTGTAATTATAGCTGAGAGGAATCATCTGTTGTTCTCTACAGTAGATAATGTGCAGAAGGTGAGTGAAATGTAGAGGAAGATCCTTACTATTTCTTTTAACAATTTATAGATTTTTATAAAAAATCTCCTCTTCCTAGATTTTTCGAATCACTCTACCAATAATGTTCATACCTCAATACCAACTATGAGCTACATCAAAAGTTGCTTAGTTTATTTACTTTGTGTTTTCTAATATCTCTGAACGAGCCCTTCAAAAGTCTCCTCGAATACGGTAATGATGTTGAGAAGGAATATATAATACGGTTTATTCCAAATGGTTATGGCTTATGAGGGATATGATTGCAAGAACGTAAGAGTAGCAACATTTTTATATATTAGCTATCATCTGATCACTTGTTCATTAATTTTTCTAAAAATCAGCATAAGCTTATAAATAATGTTTCTGTAACAAGAAATTAGTTTTTGAATATTTTGAATATTTATTACTTATTTTAGAGAAGATCATATAATAAGACTAGATATTTTAATAAACTGCATCCTTTTATCTCAGTCTTCTTAAAAACGCATCATTTATAATTTGATTGAACAGTACTCTTGGTTTGGTCTACATCATTTTCTAACTATTGATATAGTCAATAAAAAGAATCGTATTCATTGCCATGTTCTACACCGTTCTCAATGTAAGGTTCTGCTTCAATATTAGACTCTCAAGTATGATCAGGATTATTTAGACTTAGCAAGACTAGCTGGAACACTTTGAATGATGGCTGGAATCGTCCTCTCTAGAAATTATATTTCCAGATTTCCCTCATATATACCTATGGCCTTGTTCATATTCAACGGAGTTGGATATTTCTTGCTGCACTTGCTCTTCCAGACCAATCACAAAGAGCATTTCAACTCATTTCTTTCATGCTGATATTTGCTTCATTATTTCTTGTGAACTCTGACTCCATCGAAGAGACACCAAATCTGCTTGATCTTCTCGCTAACAGTACTGATGCATCTAGCAATCGCGATGTACGGATTCGGAGAAATGGACAATGACTTGGTCGTATCAGGAGTCATGTCTATCACGTTCTTCGACCTTGGCTTGGAGACTCACCAAGGAAGACTCTCACAGATGTACCAAATGATCCTTGAGAACAAGAAGTTGGTTGAGGAAAAACAAAAGATAATGCAGCAATTTCCTCACCCAATTTTGATACTTCCTCAGAAGATCTCTGAGCTGTCAAAGTGATATCCTAATGACCAATTTGAGAAGAAGATCAAGACTCTGAACCAGAAGATTAAGGAGCTTGACAAAGTCCAAGTCACTGTGAATACAAAAGTGAAGCAAGGAAAGGACCACTGAGAGAGGCAGACTCTTCTCCAGTATTTAGAAGATCATCAAGAAGATGAGAAGAACCTGGCTAGAGAGATTAAAAGAGATGCAATTATTGAGTGAAGAAGTTATCAAAGAAAGTAAGTTGATTTTTTATTAGAATTACTAAACTTGCACATTCAAGATCTATTTATTTCCGAAATAACCTACAACTGTTTCATAGCAACCCTCTCTCACAATCAGATAGCTTTGATGATGAATTTGACTACCAAAGTCAATCAAAGAGGAATTACAATATTAAGTCTATCAATGTTGAATGGAAGGGATTTCCTTCAGTTATGCATGTCTTTATTGACACCACTGACATTATTAATCTTGAAACAGCGAAAAGCCGCATCAAGATGCAAAGAATTATGTTTGCTAGTGCGAGTCATGAATTCAGAACTCCACTGAATGCAATTATCAATTCTTTCAATTTTATCAAAACTAATTTTGAAGGTTTGATGAATACATTTGAGAGAGTGTTACCTGAAAGAATCATTTCAAGCGAAAGCACTTGAGAAAACATCGAATGCATTTCCCAGTTTTTAAGGACAGGATCTACTTCATCAATGCTCATGATGGGGCTGGTTGAAGACATTCTGAACCTTTCTAAGATTGATAATGGAACATTTACAACTGTCCATGGCCATTTTCATATTCCTAAATTACTAGAAGAAGTTCATTCTCTTTTCGGTGTTCAGTGTGAAAGCAAAGGCATCGAGCTACTGATCGAATGAAATGATGATCTTGAGTTCTTTGAGGTTCTGTCTGATGCGAATAGGATCAGACAAGTTCTTCTAAACTTAGTGTCAAATTCTGTCAAATTCACTTTTAGTGGATTTATCAAAATCAAAGCAGGCCTGGTGAAGACTCTAAATGGCTCTGTGCTGATTGAGTTTAGAGTCCAAGACACTGGAACTGGGATCAAGAAGGAAGACCAAGAATGCCTATTTAAGCTCTTTGGAGTCATAGGAGAAAACGGAGACCTCAACCCCAATGGGTGTGGGTTGGGACTCACTATCAGCAAGAAATATGTTGAGAGACTTGATGGAGAAATTAGGGTAGAATCTGTGTACGGTGAAGGAACAGAGATGATATTCTCTGTTCTACCAAAAGAAATTCAGAATTTACCTGAAAACGGAAGAGCCTCGATTTCTCACTTTCGTGAACTACCAATAGAACTCTTTGAAAGTTCAAATGAGGTGGATCTTGAAATAAGTGAAGAATATTTTCCTAACGAATCAGGAGTGAAACAATGCAAATATTTTAAGAACAAATGGCTAAAATTTTAATATACGAATCTTCAACTTGAATATAACATCTCGGGGTTTTGGGGTTTTGGGGTTTTGGGGTTTTGGGG